AAAGAAAAAAACCCCAAGAATTGTAAACTCAGTTACCGACAAAGGCAAAAAGTAAGGTGGGCAAAACATGACAACAGCAGGATCTAGAAGTGTATGATTTCAACATATCCATGGTAGTATAGAAAAATGAAGAAAATTACTGCTGTGTGACCTAGTATCAGTTCATGTCAAGAAAAAATGACAATTTAACAGCCTCTGTAGACTTAAAAAAAAAAAAAAAAAAAAAAATCACAAACACCACACTATGTCAGAAGCCCTGCCATCTACACAGTTCAGCAGACTGCACCCAAACAGCACCATAAGCAGCAGAGATTCTGAGAAAAAGGTTCTCCTGTGAGTCATGAGCAACACTTTAAAGACAAGAAGAAATCAAAAAGAAAGCAACAATCAAAAACAGATGCATGGGGATGAAAACAGAAAATAGAAAAAAGAGTACTAGAACGACACTGGACATGAGTCAAAAAAGCATAAACATAAGAGGAACATCAAGTCCAATAACAAACACAGACAGCCTGTCTTCAGAATAGCATCTTTGAAAGACACCTTCATAAGACAGACAGGAAAAGCATTTGTTCTGGGGCACAGGAATCATAAGTAGAGAAGTTGTAAAGTCTTATGTTCAACTACCAGGGAAAGCTTTAAAATCCCAGGCATGTAGAGATCATTCTGCTACAGGTCTACCCTCCAAGCTCTCAACTAGAAAGAGTGAGGGGATTTCCTGATGTAATCTCTGGGTCAGTGTGTTGAATGATTCTGGATCAAGCCAGAAGTGCAAAATACCTGTATAGCAGAAAATATACATATCTAAAACTGATGCTAGACTTACCCGAAAGATCATTCAATTAAGTAGGAGTTCAGTGTATTCCTCCTTCAAAATACAGGTGAGGAGATAAAACAACAAGGACTGGAATGGTAAAAAAGTAACAACAAGGGGACTAGAGCACTAAATGTGTGAAAGAAATAAAAGTATGAGAAAAAAAATGCAGATAGCCAGTAGAAAAATGGACAAAACAGATTTCTTATGAGCAGTACCTCTCTAGAGAATCATTAAAGAGTCACGGAATACATAAAATGCAATAGTGATTCCTATTAGGGCCCAGAGATTTGTTGTTCTGAAATCATTCTGGTTTAGTGCTGGATAAACTCCACATGCAGAAAAAAATGAAGTCAGAAAACAGCTTTTACTGCTTACACAGGAAAGAAAAAACAACATAATAATCCAGTTGCTTTGATCTTTACAACAAACCAGTCCTCCTCTCAGTGGGGAGTCCCCATTCACCTTCTCACTGAGAAGGGCTAAAGCAGCTGGACACTGACATTTAGTGACAGAGCTCATCTTGAGAATATGGAGTACGAAAAAAATGTCATGCCAAAACAAAAACAAAGCTACACATAGAGAGTCAAGCAACCCAAGGCAAATGTTCCGGTTTCAGGAGCTACCTACAACCTCCTCAGCTGGAGCCTAGAAGAAATGCAGTGGCACTCCGAGCCTGATGCTATTACAGAACACCAAAGGGCAGGGCTGTGAGGTCGAAGGCCACACCTGGTAAGACAGGAAAGAGAGGTCCTCTCTTAATAACAAACCTAAAAGGAAAACTGAAGCTGGAACAACTGAGATGGGTCCAGTGGAGGGAAGGCAGAAATGGACAAAAATGGCTCCCCATCACCAAAGGGAGCTCCACACTGCGTTTTCACAGTAAACAGAGCAGTTTTCAGCATACAGCCATGATCTGAAACTTGTGAAGTACCAATTTTCTACCATAACTAGGAATGTTTTTCTTTCTCTCCCCACACACTACCTAGTGTTATCACAAAAGGATTCAAGAGTATCTTCTTAGGGTACAGAAGTAGCTAAGAAGTGTTTCCACTACCTGTATGGTTTCACACCATAGAAGTCAGTCTTTCAAAACATACACAGAGCTGTGAAGTACCAATTTTCTACCATAACTAGGAATGTTTTTCTTTCTCTCCCCACACACTACCTAGTGTTATCACAAAAGGATTCAAGAGTATCTTCTTAGGGTACAGAAGTAGCTAAGAAGTGTTTCCACTACCTGTGGTTTCACACCATACAAGTCAGTCTTTCAAAACACACACAGAGCTTTCCACCGTTTCTAAAATTGAATTACGCTCAGACTGCAATTTCTAAATTTAGCCACTAGATGGTGACACAAAGCTGTTTAACTAACCCTAAAGTTGCGCACAAGAGGAAGTTAAAACCGCTAGTCATCAGACCCAGAAACATGCCACAGCTCTGACCGCAGAGCCATTCCCCTTCTCTCCTCGGCACTTCACAGACTGTCTCCTCAGTGGCCAGGGAGAACTGTTCTTGAGGCACAAACTCGCAGCCGGCCTGAGAGCTCTGTAATAAGCCAGAAGTGAAGACAATAATTTACGAGTTGGTTTTTTCCCAAAGCTCATATACTTCTTTCAGATCAACTGTAGATCAGTAAAAAGTTTAAGAGCACATGGAACTGCTCTCATTCTCACTGTATCCATCTCATGAGCTGTACAAAAAAAAAAGGCAAGAATATATCGCGCATTTGTTCCACGCTAGCTCAAGAACATTATTCTCATTGTACTGTTTTCAGTGAATGACACATTTCCGTTGAGATTCAAGCTGTCTGCAGGATGGATATACAAGTTCTACAGAATTAGAACTTAAAAGTTCTATTTAAGTTATTTAAGACATGAAGAGTTGACTTTATCTTCACATGAGAAACCATTGCAGTATCACCGCTTAGTGACACCAACATTCAATGTTCCCCTGAAAAATTCTGCCAGAATGCCACAATTTTATCATTGGATGAAGTTTTGTTCTAAGTCAAAATTTAGCAGGCTGAAAATTCATTCTGCTATGTCAGCCACCATATGGCATAGCACCAAAATGCTTACAAAGCAGCCACTTCCAACAAATCCATTATAAAATATGAAAAAGAATGCTCTCTAGCATCCTGAGCTTGTACAGTATCTCTACAAAACAAGATAATATTAATAAATGATATATTTGGTGTTTGAGTCTTAAACTATTTCAAGTCTAAATAATTTGGATAAAATCAGCCACCACTGGAAACAACATTTATCAGAAGTATTACATTAGCTCACTAAACTCAACATAAACATAATGGATGAAAACATCATGTTTCATACAAAGCTAGAAATTCCAGTTGAGACCACTCCAGAACTGCAAACCTCAGGAAGAGCTAGAGACAAAAAAAAAAAAAAAAAAAATCTCTACCGTTCAAATGAACACTCCTAATGGACGTAAAATATAACTTCAGTAACAGATTTTAAGTTTTGATTGATTGCCTAGGTAACGATCTGGGTTGGTTTTTTTTTTTTTTAGACAATTGTACATTATCGTGTCAAAAGTGCTACTGTAACTACAGTTACAGTGCTCTCTTTAAGCATTATCTCCCTTAGCCTTGAAACAGGCATCCCACATTGCCATTCCCCTCCTCCATCCACTCTATGCAAACACCAGTGGTTTGACCTCCTGTTCTACTGGAGAGCAAGCTGGCAATGGCGTTGTAACGTGCCCCTCCAAGACTTAGAAGACTTTCCAGGAAACCTGATTTTTAAAAACAGACTTCTAAAATTATATTTCATTACATGATTACACAGGAAATTAATAGCATCAGGAAGCAAAAAAAGTACAAAGTTAAGAGGTTGTCTGCCTACAGACTTCCTGAAATCTCATACCACAGAGATTTCAGATCCAAAGTTTCTATTTTAGTCTGTATCCAAGGCAAGCATTAGAGGAGGTAACCTCTGTAAGCCAGGTGAAAGACTAGAAATTTTCTTTCAAAGGGGGGAGGAAAAAAAAAAAAAAAGAAAAAACCACCCACAAAAAAAAGGCTTGGGCTGTTGAGAGAGACCCTGGCAGCTAGTTCAAGTCAAGTTTGGTTTTTAAATGGTCCTTGGAAGATGCTAGTTAAACAGGATTTAAGGTGCCACTAAGTATTTTTATAACTTACAAAAGGAAGGTTTCTTGTCAGTCTTAGCTTCATCATTATGCAGGGTTTCTTCAGCTAAGTTAGTTAAACATCTGCTCCCTTCCCACCATCTTTTCAATGCTCATTGAAAACTCACTGGCACTTCAGCCCTCTACAACGGCTTCAGAGACATCTAGAAGTTCTGTCAACTCTTTACCATAACTGTATGTAACTAACTATGCAATTAGAGGTTATTAGTAAAACTAATATTAAAGAACATCAGTAATACTTTAACATGCATATAACTTGCTTTTCAATGGCTTTTTGCCAGCATATACTCTGCTAAACCTCTCCCTGCAATTCACCTTGTAATTCTATCACCTGCAGAACTCAGTGTTGCCATTTCTTCACTGTGTTAGGTCAATTTGATTATCCTTAACCTATAAGGTCTTCCTGTCTTTTGGAATTCCAGCAGTCACCCTGAATACATTGCCAAAATACCCGAACTTTACTTAGCTCTGCACCAGGAGTCCAAGACAGTTGTCAAACTATGCTGCCAAGAAAAAGATAACAGCAGATTCCCAGCCTCTAAACTCAAGCTTGAAGAAGAGGTTTAGAGCTAAACTGAGTTTGGATAGTTTGCCCATTTGCAGCTGACAGTGTGAAGAACATCAAGAATGTAGAGATATAATGTCATTTCCTAAACCAAGCAAGGAACCAAGCAAGCAAATCTTCAGAATTGCTTTTAAGTTGATATGGAGCAGTAAGATTTCATGGCTCAACTAAAAGCAGTACTGTTGTACTTTATTTTGAAAAACGCTACTATCCTGAGGAAGAAAAAAGTAGGTCAATTAATTCCCTCACTTCGACATCAAGAGATTTCACATCACCTTAATTACTTCGCCCACTGTTTATCTGAATTTGGCATGTTTCAAAACAGTTCTAGTGATATATGGACCAACACATGCTTACAATAATTGAAGCCTTCTTAACATTTCAAATTCATAAAGCATATATGCAATGTATATAAGTTAACTTACCACACAGACTCCATGAACTCAGGATAAAGAGTTTTATAGTCATTTTCAAAATCAATCCAGCGTCCTAATCTGGTAACACTGGTCTGTTAAGAAACAAACACACAGATTGAAAGGCATCTTAACATTAAAGATCATGATAGACTTCCAATATCCGTTCTGTAAAACAGTTTGATTTTTAAGTGTAGCGTTTGTCCCATACCAATGAAACACATCTATGAAATATTTTGGCCCGACAATAGTTCCAAACAGTGTATTTAAGCAGGCAAAAATAAGCAAAGAATGAAACCATGAACATAACTGTTTAGAACCAAGGTCACACAACAGGCAAACGTGTTCAACACTACTGAACAGAAATGGTGGATCATTTGGATCATTCATCAAACAGAAATGGTGGATCATTCAAGGTTCAGCCAAGGTTCAAATGCCTGAAAATTGCTTTTGATTACAGTGATCTTGCTTCTATTTTAAAACTACTCATTGCAGAGACAGTCAAAATCCAGAACACATAGTCTCTCAGCTTTCAGTTATACAAAAACATGATGTAATTCGAAGACAAAGAAATGCTGAAAGAAATTGATATATCACAAGAAGTTATCAAAACTATTTCAGGGCCAACTGCCTTCTTTGACCTCCCAAAGCTAAGACAGGGCTGCCAAAGACCGCAAGACTGACAGGTGTTAGGCCCTGTCTCAGGACAGATCACAATCACGTCCACTGGCACAGTATATGAAAACTAATGAGTAATAAGCTAGCTATGGAATTCACTTGGACAAGTGGTACTCTCTTGCTAATTTCACAGCTATCAGAATCCCCAGCTCTGCAAATAACCAAGCCCAGAGACACCCGTCCTGATACTGTTAGACACAGACCATACTGAATGTCAAACTAGTAAAGTGAAAACAAAGCAAATGAATTCTCTCTATATTTTCATGTAACACCTGAGCTCCTGAAATATATCAGTTTTGAGTCTGACCTTCAAGTCACTCTGACATTCCACTATTAAGATCCAACACCTAGGACTGATTAGTACAAGGATCCACGAAGTTGAAGTATTATGTTTGGTCTCCTTTTTTTTCATAAGGTTCAAACATTTGCTACCCACTCCAGACAGAAAATAAACACTATCTCCAATAGGAATGTTGGGAATTCCTCTCCTAACACTATCCCAAAATATTTGCATTTATTACCAGCCAAATCACAAACAAGATATTTAAATTAATTTCATTATTTTTATTAATAATCTAAAATCTATGTCTGTGTGTGGAAATACACACATATACATGCACAAGTTTATGCACAAAACAAAATACAAAATCCATTTACCATCCAAAAGACTAAGTATTTGGACTAATCAGCACTGCAAAAATACCAGTTGCTGAAGACACAGCAAGTTAAAAGGAACAACTATGGAAAACAAAACATGAACCAGAATGAATCTTTTTATTTCTAAAAGCAACAAAGAATCATCAATGATGTTTTTGAAATATAAAATTTCAGAGTATAGATGAATGATTGTATATTTGGGGAAAAAAAACCAAAAAACACAGAACACCAGCTCTGTGCTTTTCATCCAGCCATTTGCTTAGATTTAGGCCACAGCTAATCTAACAAAGGCAGCTGTAGTTTCTTCGGATACTGGCCATAACTTCAAAACGCTCCCAAGGGCAAGAGGCAAGTGATACTCAAATAAGAAATTGCTATTTCAATCAAAAGGAATATAGCAGGACTAGAGAACATACAGAGGACTGTGATCAGGTAGAACAGCTTCTGCATGAAGAAAAACTAAAGAATTAGGACTATTCTGCCTAGAAAAAGAAACAACCGATGGTGAAGATAAAGGTTTACTGGAAACCATATTATAGGAGAACTACAGTTCTTCAAACTATGTATAGCAGTGCCTCGATACAGACTGTTTAGAGGACAGCAGTATACCTAGATTCAAAATGTAGCTAGGTAAATTCATGAGGGGGGGGAAAAAAAAAAATCTGTTAGGGGTTATAAACGAGGGAAAAAAATTAAAAATCCTTTGGCCTAAGAAGGTCTTGTGCCACAAAGGCTGAAAAAATACAGCCTGTTCTTCCATTCTTCCTTTGGCACCTGCTATTGCGTGCTGTCACTGCAATATAGCGGCACAGCTAGGAAAGCACCCGGGCCACTCCTCAGCTCCAGAAAGTTATAGAAAAGAGTCATCACTTCACAGACATATCAGACTGACAGTAAATACAAAGTGCTGGGCTAAATGTACTTTATTCTGGCCACACTGCCAAGGACAAAAATAGGGAGCACCAGGTTCTATGCACAGGATGAATATTACTCAGTTAGGAAAAAACCTGTGCATCTCTTCAGAAAATATCTAACCCATCTACTTGGAACAGCTCTCCATTGTCAAGAGTCTGCACAGACCAGTGCTCTCCCTACCACTGCATTCATGGATGCAAAGTTTAGACCAATATTCTCTTGGAAGCCTGCAGGTTTACCCACACCTATTCTGACACAAAATCAGATGCTAGAACTTCTGCTGTTACAGAAATACAAGCTATAGTCCTACACTCTGGCAATGAAAAGACTGAAAAGTGGGGGAGGGGGGCGGCAGAAAAGCAGGGAGGTTAATGTGCATTCCCTTTATTGGTTCCATTTGAAAACCAAAGTCAGATCTTACTTTCAATTTTCTGTACAAGACATGAAGAAAGTGATAACTTGTTCAATGTACCTATTAGCTGTTCAATGTATCTGGTTAGACACTTTGAGCTCCAGGTTACCTTAAAGTAACCTTCTTTTGACATCACAGCAGTGTCCCCGTTCTGAGCCACAATGTTGTTCTTTTTTGTTCCCCTTTCAGGATCACCAGTGAGAAACACAGTAGCTAAAGACATGAGATTTATGCACGTAATCAAATAGACAAAAGGATGAAGTTCTCTCCAGCTGAAAGACTTCTGCACACGTACTGTTAGAAATGTACAGCAGAATATGCACTGAGTCTTTACTTACCTCCCATTCCTTTGAGTATCTCATCACAATTCCTCTGCACTGGTTGTTGTATTCTTCAATCCCCATCTTCGCCACGTCCTCTGGCCCTTTAATGCCTAAGGTCTTGTCAATCTCGTATTCCTGGGAGCATTGAAAACAACCAGGCAAAAAACCCACGCTGTCATCAAAAGCTTTCAGGATTTCTCTGGATAGTTTATTTATGTTCTATGCATTCTAATGAGGCTAAAGGGCCTCCTCTATCCTTTTAAGATTTCATGAGTACTGCACCTGAACTAAGCAGATATTTCAAAGGATAACTCTGGTGTGATTGTTTCTTTACTATCTTTAGAAAAAGAAAAAAACTTTTTTTTTAAACACATACCAAATAAATACATGTTTATAGTAATGAACAGAGTGCCTGGAGAAGGGCAGGTGACCAGTAGGAAGCACCTGAAATCACCACACACGCAAAAGCCAGAGCAACACACTGGACAAAGAACTTCCATTTCTCTTTTAGCAACAAAGCCAGGCATAAGAGTAATAGAAACGTGACTGATAAGCAGGTAACAACATGGAAAGAGGAACAAACAAACATCTGCAGGCAGATTTATTACACATACCACAGGTAAGCCATGGCAATCCCAGCCAAATCTTCTGTCAACATGAAAACCACTCTGATGAGCAAATCTGGTTACTATGTCTTTAATGGTTCCTGCAAGAATATGGCCGTAGTGTGGAAGCCCGGTAGCAAATGGAGGGCCATCATAGAAGTTAAACCTACAACACAAGACAATTAATTAATTAATTAAATCAAAAACTGAGCATCAAATCTTCAAAGAGGATAAGTATATCTGCATGCTTATGCTTCTTATATCTTACTAGGATGACATCAATTTATTATCAGTCAGCACAGGTATCACATGGGCAAAGGGAACATTTCAACTCATTCAATTCCTACTGATTGCCAGTTCTACCAAGATTACTACTGAAAATACCAGCATGCTGCTCCACAGCTGGCAGACACAGGAAAGAGTTGTCCTTGCTTACCTGCAGATTTCTTTTATAAACCCACCAAGCAGGAAATTACAGGTTTATTACTACTGTTTGTACACTGTTGATTCTTCACAAAGTGAAATATAAACGGTAACTGACAGGACAGCAACATTAGCCAAGACTGCTACCTGCAAAGGCAGCAGCTGTTGTTAACAGGACTGAGGGAGGGAAAAAAAAAAGTACCCACAGCTAAGCCACCCTTGCACTGTCACACACAGTTCCTACAGCTTTTAGCAGATTCTTACCTAGGTCTATTCTTTGATTGCTTTAGACATTCCTGGAAACAGTTGAGATTTTTCCAGAGCTCCAATATCTTCTCTTCCTCATTTGGAAAAGTTATGTTTTCTGGAACTTGTTGAACCATTCTTTCCCAGCAATGACCAAGCAGAGAAAAGAAAATACATATTGAACAGAAGTGAGAAAAAAATGACTTCACAAATACAATTTATTGTGTTACAAATCCACATCACCAAACCACATCTCAGTTTTTCAAAGAGCTTGATTCAGTGTAGGCATGGAAGCAAGCACTATATTCTAAAAAAAAGCCTAATAATTTTGACAGACTAGCACCAAAGTTTTGTAACAGGAAAAAGATCCTCCACTCACTCAGCTATGGTCGTTCATTTTTTACTATGCTTTCATTTTTGTTTCCTATAGAACGCAGTCGAAGGGCAAATTATTTTTTTGTTACAATTTTGGGTTTTGTTGGGGGGGTTTGGGGGTTTGTTTTTTTTTTTTAGAAAAGCTTCCAAGTTCAAACTGACCTTTCAGCATCAGTTTGTGAACTAGTGAGACCTACTTTAAGCGCAGGAACTAAAACTAGTGAAGTGGCTCCTTTTCACTGTACATCTATTTCTACCATTTAAAGGTTTAAAACAGCATTTTTCCATCTAGCTAGGCCACTATTCTCAGGTGCTCCTAAAAGCAAGCAGACTTCAGATAGCATAGTTGAAACACATTGCAATGAAAGATGAACATGTGGGGAAGAATTCAAACAAACAGATGAGGAAAAAGCTCAAAGACCTCAGTTGTGCATCTTGAAAAACTCTAACTTGCAGAGTACTGGCAAAACTACTAGTCTCTATCTAGTCTCTTTTTTGTTGTTGGTGGTGGTTTTTTTTTTTTCCTTCCTTCAGTTTTACAAGTATGTCAGAACTAAGCCACAAGGGGCTATTTTTTTGCTGAAAGGCTTTTTTTATTTGGTGGGTTTTGGCCACCAGAGCCCAAAACCATTCTTCAATTCTGGGTAAGTCAATGAAAATCACTACAGGCAAAATTACGTACAAGCTTTCTTCACGACACAGAGAAGAGAATTCTCAACATCATTAGAAACATGCAATAGAGCTGCCTGGTGTTCCAGACCTGCTACAAGATTCAAAGGGGTCAAATTTCAACAAAATGCTACAGCAAGCACTAAGCAAAAGCTCTGTGGGATATTTAAGACAAGAGTTCCATAACAGAAGAAAACTGGTTATGAAGGTTATAACAGATGACTGCAGAGAAAAAACAGGCTCTCCCACCTCTAACTTCAGTCGTGCTGCTCCCTAGCACTTACACCAGAACGAGCTGAGCACTACACATTAGCCTCGAGTTTCGCTTAGTGTTGTAGAATTACAAGCAATGGCACAAGGACTGAGTCTTCTGATTTACTCAGGTTTGTCAACTAGCAACCATAAGCAGCAACAAATGCAAATGCATGAAGACAACACTTCAAGCTACAGATGACATGCTGCCTGGTAGTGCTAAAGTTCCAAAACATTTACTTAAATGAAACCCAGAACATCATAGAACTTGCCAGCTCAATGCTTGAACCCATATGAAAAAATGTGCCCCAAAATGAAACCTACAGACAAATTCCACCATTAATAATTTTTGTATTAATGACAGCTCATTCTCCCCGCTAACAAACCCAAATTATCAAATAAGACAAGAAATTAATTGAGAAACCCACAACCTGGTACACAGGCAACACTGCAACTGAAGAGGAAATCACGAGCTGACAAGGAACACATGGACATGGCCTGGATGTATTCTTAAAAAAGTAATAACCAGTAAGTTACAGTACATGCAACTTGTACAGGAGTTTTCATCATCATATCTCAAAGCACTCAACAAAGCACTAATTAGGCCATTCCACTTCTCAGTAATTTGATCACAGCCCCAAGATCACAGTGCTGGAGACAATGGAGATGATAATAGAATTCAGCCTTAAAGTTTATTTCCTACAAGCCAGCTGACTTGAGGACTAAGGACCTGCACATTTTACTTAGATCAAGCTCAACCTTCGCAATTTAGTGATAACTGCAAAGGTTTTGGCAACTGGCCCAGCTGTCAAGTCCCTATAATCTAATAAATTAAATATATGTTTAAGGTTTAGTCTGTAACTGTGACCGGGCTATGGAAGCTGCTCACATATCACAGACTCCATGCGTAAACCACAGTATCACTGTTGGCCCATTTCTACCAACTGAAGCACTGTATGCACAAACCAGTGTCCAGTAACCACAGGGCACAAATTCATACACACTCTTATCAATATTACAGGAAAATTTCATTATGTCAGAATTCAGAAAAAAAAATTACTGATGAGAATTAATATGTAACAGTGATTACAGGTCAGTTTTTTCAAGTTACGGAACAGAATTTTAAACAGATTGACATTTAAAGTTATCTATGGCTTAACCTCAGCTGAGCAAAAAGTGAAGATTTCTATGTTCAGGAAAAGCATAATCAGTTTATAGACCGAGATATGAATAATTCCATATACCTACAGCAAAAAAAGTTAATTACTATAAGCAATCTAGGTATTTTAAATCAGAAAAAAATCAAGGACAACTCATTAATTTGAACACAGACTGAGTGAAAACATCAAAAACGATGTTACGGAAATTATTATACAAATGCATCTAATAACACAACACTTTTGGACAAGACTCCAAATTTACATACAGATTAGTAAGCACAAGGGGTTGTTTTCTTGTTTCTCTATTCATCTTCTGCTGACAAAAAGTATTAAAGTTTAAGACAATGCACCACTGGGGAACTTTTTTCTTCTTTTTGGTAAGTACACTCACTTTTTCTAAGAGGTAATAACATTCAATAGGAAAGGCGTCAAAATCTGCAGATTGTAATATAGCAGTCTCAAACTTACGCTGGGCTTTTTATCTAGAAGAAAAAAAATAAAAAAGTATTAAAACCATAAAAGCAGGCTAGAATGTAGTTTATTGCATATTAAGATTTAAAGGAAAAAAAAAACAATATTTAATTTTTCAACAAAAATTCAATAAAAATGCTACTATGAATGAAGTGAACCAGTATTTCAGAAATGTGTTGGACTTAACACACATCACATATAGACAGATGATTAAAACAAAGTAGATTTCAAGATATTACTCATTTTCTTGACTGAGAAACTGAAAAGATAAAGAACCAGTATGAACTAGAAGTGCACAAAAGGTCTCCTAATTTCAGCAGGTTTATGATCAGTCTCTTATCCTTGTTCCAGTCACCTTCTCCCACAAACTATTCTATGTAAGAGACCTATGCACAAACTTCCCTCCACAGACTAGGAGGAGCCTCCTTTCTCCATCTACAGATGCCTTCCCCAAAGTTAAACAATGCACCATTTTACATACACACAGAACTAGGCTCCCCATTTGTGCCTTTTTAGGTTCTGAGTTTTGAGGCAAGGCAATTTCTGGGGGAACAATATTCGAAACTGTTCATCAATAACCAAAAGCATCTATTTCTAGAACGGATGGAAACAACCAAGTCTAAAATAAAAGGAAGGATGGATGGGAACAGAATGCTAAGCTACAGAACAAACATTGTTTCTGAAAATCTTGTGCTAATGCCTTACACAGGGAATAAGACTGCAACACTTAATCAAAGACCTAAGAACGGGGCGGGGGGGGAGTCATGCACACCTACTGTAACTAGCACTTTACATGAACCACCAAATAGTTGGAAATGCAAGAACTTATTTAAAAAAAAAAAAAAAAATTGAGCAACCAGTTTTCTTCTCCAAAAGGACATAACGCTGACACCCTGGTGGCCAGTCTCCCTAACACTGCAATTTATTAGTGTAATTACTTCAGGAAAGAATTTAGAACATGGTTTTCTTCACAAAAGTTTTGATTTTGATGGTAACATAGAAAATTTATATTTACACCTTATTCATAGCAGACTGATAACGGCCTAATTATTCCACTGTTCTATTTAATGGGTCACGAAACTGAGGAGTTACAGACTCTTACTACTGAAAAATATGCCCCAAAGTGAGCAGATCAGAAAACTAAACTGGGAAACTAGGAAGTGACAGTTTCTAATTTCTAAACAGGTAAATGAAGTCTACTCAAGCTGAGCCTGATACTTGAGGATGGGTTAGGGAAAGTATATCAAGGTTAATTCATCTCAACATATCACTCAAGATGAAACACTACCCGAGATGGACTATAGGCCATCTGTCCGCCAGCAAGGACTGTTCCTTTCTATGCTGAAAAGCCAGTTAAAAGATTGCTAAAACAGTGAGCGGACTCATAAATTAATACTATGTTTAGACACAAATATATTTCATACTATGCAAGAACTCAGTTTTACCCTGTATCTTATGCTCTGTTAAGCAGATTTTTCTGTTGTCTTTATACTAACTTGATTAAAAGTGTAAAATTTGTCATTGTGCAAAAAACCCTATGTTATTTTGAAATAACTTTGAACTATGTATTTAAAAAGAAATCAGAACCATAACAGTTGCTGTTATGTGCCAACTAAATTCTGCTATTACCCGACAGCCGCTTCCTCAGCACGTCACCAACAAAGCTGAAAAAATATGCTTTCTTCAGTTTCCAGAAGACTCCTGGGGGGATGGCAGAGCCAACATTTGCTGAAGACAGAAACACCAAATCCGTCACAGCTACACTAATCAAAAGTGTACCTTCCTCAAAAACTTCCCCTCTATTAGAAGGATGCTTAAGTGGAATGCTTAAGACATATTACACATTGCAAGGCATCTTAGGTTCTTCATTCAACTAATTAATGAAATTAAGCCTTGAAGGGTACTAAACTCTGCAACAAGAAAATTGGTTAACCTTTAATAAGTACCTATTTCAAGTAATCGCTAAATTCTACCAAAAAAAAAGAATCTGTATAGCACCCAGCGGAGTCCGAGAGTAAAATATCTTACATGTAAACATAACGTTATACATACAAAACACATTAGCCCCAACGCCTGAAAAGGCGCTGATAACGACAAAACCCAGCAGCGGAGCAG